GTGCTAACTCTATGAATATTTTGAAATCCGACAATAATTGCCCAAACTTTTTGAAAAAACTAGAGAGAAAGAAACTCCGAATTAAGAATAGCTAAAAAATTGTGAAAAAGTCTCAGGAGGAATTTCTTGCGCCAAAATTGTATTAAATAAGAAGATGCTTTGGAATCCTTTGAAAAATTTTAAATGTGACAGGACTTTCTGAGCAAACCTGGGACAGCAGAAAGAAGACGTTACAATTTCATCCCATTTTCCTCCCGTTGTGAAGCGAAATGATTCATTTGTTCAAAAAGAAGAGAAAGATGGTTTGACATTCGAATACCTTTTCTTTCTTTCTTTTTTTTCCTTATTTTTCTTCCGACCCAGGTTTCGTGGATCACGAAACTGTTCCATCACGATTTCACCGATACGCTACAATCAGTGACTCAATGCGTGATCACTGATCACACGCTTTATTTTTTAAATTTTCTATTCTATATATATACAGTAAATGTATTTTATTTTTAAGTGAACTGAATGGTTTCTCTTTCCGTGCCATGCACGCCGCCCCTCGGGTCCCAGTCACGACACCCATGCATTTTTCCATCCAAAAATTCCAAACACGCATTCTACGGGAAACCCTCGACCTATGGATACCGTCAGTTGTAAGCGACACCTGTTGCCAACTTTCCGCAGCTGATTGAGGTTTTGCAAGAAACGTTTCATAGGTGTCGCGCTCTCCAAGGCCAGCGGCCCATGTCTTATTACTCTCTTCACACAGAATAATGGGATGGATGGATGGATGGAGACGATGTTTATTTTTCTGGCTCCTTTTGGGGCTCAAGGAAAGAGCTAGGAAACTGGGGTTTACTTTATTTCTTGTTGGTTCCTGGAAGGGAGAAGTGAGAGGGCTGGGAATGTTAGAGTAAACCCAGGGTTTGGTTTTTAGGAAACCAGTTTGTGTGGTGAGAGAGCAAAGCATCAGTTCAGCTCTGATGGGTGTTCTGGGAGGATAATAGCTATCAGATTTCTTACATGATCAAGAGGGGTACTAATTTGGTTCCTAACTGAGTGTTTACAGTGCTGATGTTGTTTCACAGAGTAATCTTCAAAAGCTCAGTGTTTCAAGACCTGATACATTGCTTATTTATTTGAATATATTGTGTACAGTTTCTTCCCTTGAAATTGATTATTTGGTGTATAGCCAGGTGTAGCTGTGTCAGAATCCTGCAAAAGTGTGGTGTCAATGATGATTACCTGAGTGAATTTGTTGCAGATTTTCTTCAAGTACTGTCTTTGAACTCTTGCTGAACTCAGTTCTGGAAACATGGATTGAATTTTATGGACACTGTTTATTTAAAACATCTTTGACAGAGCCATTGCCAGGATCAGAACAGTGTTTTAAACCTGGCTGCCAAATATCTATAGGGATTATATATTAAAAAAAAACTTGCACCCTTGGCATTGAATAGAGATTCCATATTTTGAGTGGTTGATTTATTTGCACATGCAATTGCTTTATACTTGTAGACTCATTGCAACAGTGAAAAATATGTGCAGTGTTGTGTTGGGTTTTGCTTGGATACGCAAATCAAGCATTAAATAAAACCCATTTTTCAGAATTCAATTTTTTATTTTTCCAATACTTACAAACAACAATTAACAACTCAACACAAAATCAACCCTTTTGAAACATCCTATTAGTTTTTTATTCAAGGTTAGCCTTTTCGGATCTGATGAGTCAGAATCGAACTGTTTATTGAAGAATTCATTTTTCAAGTCTGCAACCATTTACTGTAATTCCATTGAGCATTCATCCAATTATTAATGACATGCACTTTATTTTAGATCAATTCCTCCCCCATTATTTGCTAATGCTGACATTCTGTCCTACACGACTGATATTCAGAAATAATCCCTAGATGTCACTCCTACAGCCAAATATAAACAAACTTTTAATTCTTTATCACCAGAACTTTCCATCAGTAATCACACATAAGATTGATAGATTTGACTTTTTCTTTTGAACCAGCTCTTCTGGAATCGATTGCTGACGCTTTTAACAAAATAACTTGAATGGCTGAGGTTTAGAGATAATGCCTAGATGTCACTCATATAGTTAGACCCACACTGTGTTTCTTCATCACACTAACTTCTCTCAACACATTACATTATTATTTGGCTTTTTATTTCGGATCAGTTCCTCTTGCGTTTATATACTACACTCATAACAGTATGACCTGAATGACGGGGATTCAGAAATAATCCCTAGATGTCACCCTTGGAGTTGGACCTAGAAATCAAACTTCAGCATTGCTCATCACATAATCTTTGGGTTTTTATTTAAAAATAAATTTCTTCCATCAATTATTTCTCCGATTCGCAACACATGCCCTAAATGACAGAGTGGGTAGAAATAATTCCTTGCAGATGTCACTCCCATGAAAAGAGCCGCAATAATTTGTCTTTCTGCATCACACTGACTTCCCAGCCACTCAAACCATGGCGATATAAACCACACCTTGGGCCAGTTTTTCTGCCTGCTGAATTCTACAGTCCATAAATCTGGATCTGTTGGCAAGGAAAAAAAATAAAAATGCATCACACAAAACGGTAACTGAGAGCTAATGCGTTTTTGGATATGGTGGAGCATCCAACCAACGCTTCTCCGCAGTTGATGGCCCACCAATTATTATTTTTTCTCTCCTCCACCTTTTATATTAAATATATTTTTCCTTGGGAGAACAAATAGTTTCCGTTTTCTTGAAACAGAAGAAGAAAAATAAAAATACGGTGACTGATTCAAGGGTGGCATTATGATAATTAAAACAGGTTTGAATCACTGGCACAGGGACAGAAATTATCTTCCTTTTCCCCCCATTTCACATTGCACTCACAGTCTCACACACACACACACACATATATGTATAGTGTTTGGGGGCTTCAGAAAGTTAATCACCTTCTGCTAAGTACAGGGAATATAAATCAGTGATGAGAGGGAAGAATAACTTTTGGGTGGGACCTGTTTCCTTTTTTTTGTTTGTTGGGAAATGTATTCTTCTCTTTCTTTTGTATGAATTTTTCTTTCCTTGGGTTGTGTGAGGTGAAGTGAAGCAGGTTCTGCGGTCCACTGCCCAAGAGTGACTGCAATCATGGAGTTGTCCTCCTTTGGTGTCTGAGTATGAGTCTTCAGTGTTGCTTGGCACACTGCCCAAACATGGCTTCCAAGAAATTTCTGGAATCCTTCCTTTTTTGCTTGGAACAAAAGGAATTTGTTCATCTTTTTGTGGGATGTGTGGACTCAGTGTTTACATTTTAATTACAGAGCATAGCCTGAGGCTGGGAATTTTGTACAGAACACCCTTGGTTCAACAGTGGAATAGTTATTCTTTTGGGAACTTTTTTCCTTGGCTTGAAATATGCAGGGAGTAATTTGAAAGTTCATCATTGAATTGGATGGATTTTGCTGCTGACTTTGCTAATTCCTATAAGGCGGTTTCCTTCTCAGACTTTTACTTCAAAATCAAGACTAAATGTTCACTGATTTTCAGGGAGCTTTTTTCTACAGCTTCAAAAATTCCCACTACAGTATACATGTGATATTTTCCCATTGTTGTACATGGAAAATTTTGTGTAAATATGCTGACATTGCTATAATACTTGGTATTTCTTCCTGTGTCAGTATTTTACATTTAATATCACAGCTTAGAGTGTTTGAAGTAAATCCATAGTGAAACAGTGGAAAGATTATTCACTGTTTTGTTTGTCAGCTTGTTCCCTTTTTTTCCCCACAGCTGGAAAATTAAAATAATATGAAATTTTTCCTTGAAAAGTCTAATGGAAGTTGTGTTTTAATTTTATAAAAAAAATTGCTCCTGCTTACAGCACAATGCTGTTGGATCATGTGACACTCTTCACAGACTCTTTTTTATTCCTAGAAACCATTAATGTGTTATTTTATACAATTCCACTGAGGGTGAGTCAATCATGGGTACCAGGTTTTTCTCAATTGATGTGGTTGTTTATATGATGAGTTCCATGTAATGTGACCTGATACTTGATTGATGGAAGGTTATTGACAATAAGGTGCGTGTTTATATCAGACTCTGTATTAAAGAGAGAGAGAACCCTGGGTTCAAAAGGGTGTGTGATATGAGTGTGGAAGAAGTGAAGGCAGAGAGTGGCACAGTGGGGGCGACACCTGCTGCTGGAGAAGCCCCAGCAACAACATCAACAACAACAACAACACCACTGAGAGGAGCACCACGCCCTCTGCTGGCAGCTGCAGCAACCATCAAGCGCCTCCCCAAATGGGTCCCAGTGTTGGTAGTGTGCCTCCTGTTTGCTGTGGTGCTGAGTGCAGTCCTGGTCTCTGTCCTCCTGTCCACTGGTGCAGTTGAGGATGAGGCACAAGGGAGACAGTCTTTGGCTGAGCCCCTGAGGGGGGCAGACTGGCTGACTGCAAGTTTCACCACCCAGGCACCAGCAAAGGCCGCTTCTCGAAGGCCTGTGTGTGCCACAAGTAGGGCTGATGCCAGGCGACACCTGGTGCCCATGTGCAGGTCCATCATTGGTGCACCAGACCGCGAATGCCCCGAGGGCTACTACAAGGACTTCAATGGAAACTGCGTCCTGGCTTTTGGCTTTGACCTGCCTTATGAATGAAATTTGTGCACCACTTCAATTGGTCTCTCACCTGCTATAGTGTATATATAAATACATTTCCCATTAAAAGTCTCATTTTAAAGGGGGGGGGAACTGAGTTTTAACTGGTGATTTGCTTCCATACCTGTGGTCAGTTTTGCTTCCAGGCATTTCTCACATATGAGTGCTGTACAGTATTAATGTCTTCTTGATAATACAATTGAGATTGGACCATGCAGTGAATGATCCACAAATGAGTCAGTGGGCCAAAGAGTCTTGCATTTTGTAGTAGATGAATAAATGACTTAGACCCTGGATGAGAAGAATGTGTGAGGCTTTATTTTTGATCATCATGAATATATAATAATAGCATGGTGTGATCAGTGCAGGTGGTTGGAAGGGAGTGACCTCTTGTGTCCCTTGGTGCTGAAGACAGGCCTGCACCTGCCAGTGACATCTTTCACAAAGCCTCTCCTGCAGTCTGATCCAGCTTGTTCAGCCAGGGGCCTGTGGATGAGGTTGCCAGCATCCTCTTCCCTTCTCAGCAGAGGTTTGGTGGAGTTGGTGCTAATAGTGGTGGAATTGGTACTCATTAGGATGGCAGGGTCCTCAGAGAAGACTGGGCGACACTCATTGTTGGGGTCCAGGGTGAAGTGAGGTGGGCAGCCACCTGAGGTCAGTGGTGCTCTGAGGTCTGCTGACTTGCTGCCTGACTCTGCTGGTTGGGTCAGGAACACTATGGCCACCATGGTGGTGGCCAGGACTGCTGACAACACTGCCACACCTGCCATGACTCCTAGCACCAACTTGGAGCTTCCCTTGGACTCTATTTGCATTTGCCACTCTGGCACACCTTTTTTCATCTGGCACAGCTGGCCTCTTATTTGTGTGCCTTTCCTAAATAAGCAAACACAATTTCATTTACTGCACACTATCAATGGATTTCAAAATTTGAAAATTTGTTGAGCATATTTGTGCATTTGCCACTCCAGCAAAATTCCATGTAGTTTCATGTGCTGTACCCATTGAAAGAATTTCAGATTTATACAATTTTAAGGATATTTTTACCATGGTTTTGAATTTTCATCCAAATACTGTATAACCAAAATTTTAGCTTGTGCATTAAATTGCAGGATTGGAAATTTTTCCACCAAAATCCAATTTTTCTTTTAGAAATTTTCATTTTATTTTACTGTGTATATGCCATTTCCTGATTGCTCAAATACATTCTATATAGGACTATATACTGTACTGGTGAATCATGAATGATGCTTTTGTTTACAAGATACTAAATGCACCCAAAAACAACTTGAACTAGGGTTGACTTTGATTTCATATATGTATCACTATCATGAACACAGGTATCAGTTGAAGTTTGATGGAGTACAATAAGATCCAGGAAATTAAATCTGAATTGTTTTATTTTTCACAAAGCCCTTTTCAGTTTTATTTCATGAATAATGCCACATGTCACACAGTAATTCAACAGGATGTTTTCATGAATACTATGGGGATAAAACTCTTGCAAACCTCAAGTTGAAAAGATTTTTTATGAATAAAAAATGTGAAAACTGTTGTAAAAAACTGTGATTTAGTGCTTCCTGCTCTCACATTCAGCAGCACAGAGGGACTGGAATGTTCACTCCTCTGCATCAGCCCTAAAATCAATCCTCTTATTGTCACCATCAGACTGGTCATGGTTCTGTGCACTTTCATCAAACACAATGGAATGCACAGGGCAAAGCATCAGCAGATACAGTACAGTACACTGTATAGTGAAGCAAAGGGGCCATGTTCACATTTCCTACATTACTTCATTCCCTGTTATACTGTATTTTGCGCCAGGAAAGGAATGCTCTAGCTCTGATGTATCATGGACTGTCCCCTGTGATGAGCATGATTCCCACATATGATGACCTTTTTGCTGCAAGTTAAAGTTGAAAATAAATGCTTTGCTCCAATTTTCGCCTGCATCATGTCATGAAATGTTCGCTTATTCTGAACACAAAGGTGTGGTTCTGCTGAAAACACACTCATATCTTCCTCCTTTGTGCAACAA